AAGGGTTAAAAAGTAAAAAGAATTCTAATTTGTGAATAATAAAATTAATTAACTTTAATTAAAATAAATTAATCATATTTATTGATTTTAATTTGAGATTATTAGGTATACTTAATGATTTTAATTAAAAGTTGATAAATATAATTAATTAATTTTAATTAGTGTCAAATTAATCATTTAATTAATTAATTTCCTCTAATCTTGGTCAAAAGTCAAAATTATCTTTTTTTTTTTTTTATTTCACTCAAAAGTTTCATGTTTAAGCACTTTAAACCAAAAGTTTCAAACCTTTTCAAATCAGTCCTCTATTTTTATTTTAATCAAATCAGTCCCTTTAGTTTTTACTTGTTCATTGTGCATGCATGTCTTTGATTTCATCCATTTTAGTCCAAAATGTTAAAAATGTTGAAATTTGGTTTATCTCTTTTTCAAGCTTGTCTATTAAGACCCAAATATAAATGTAATAAATAAGTTGAATTAAAACCTCAATTTTAAAGTATGCAACCGTGTTTAAACGGAGGATTGTGAGGTGCGCGTATGCCCTTCTTCACTCCTAACCGAACCCCCGAACTTCGATCTCTACACAGACCCGTTTTAGGTGACTTGTCCCATCTTATAATTTAGACGAGTGGCGACTCCCTCTTTTTTATATTGTCACACTTGATTTTTCATTTATTTTGAAAAAAATCTTAAGTGGTCGTCAACAACAGAATGGGAAAGGACTGCCTCAGATTCTAGAATTATTAAGGACGCATTAAAAAGAGAAGATAAGCTTATCATTCCAGAGGGAAAATTTTACCTTGTTGATGTTGGGTTTATACTAAAAAGTGGCCTTATAACTCCTTATAGAGGAGTTCGCTACCATCTCAAAGAATATTCAAATAATCCTCCTCAAAATGCTAAAGAATTATTTAATCTTAGGCATGCAGCTTTACGTAATGCTATTGAAAGAGCATTTGGTGTTTTGAAAAGAAGATTTGAGATTTTAAGGGGCGAAATGAAATCATTCTATGGAGTGAGAACTCAAAATTTAATTATTTTAGCTTGCTGCATTATTCACAATTTCTTAATGGGTGTGGATCCTGATGAAGACCTTATAGCTGAGGTAGATATGGAGTTGAGAAATCATGAAAATTCGCAACAAACTCGTACTTCAAGAGAGGAAGAAGAAGATGCCAGCAGGGGGGAAATGTTGAGAGATGTTATTGCTGTCGATATGTGGCACAATTACAAGAATTGATAGTTTACATTTTCGTTTTTTAGATTTTCCTTTTTGTAATTTTGTTTTGTTCTTTTGACTTGAATTAATATTTTGTTCTTGAATTATTTACTTTTATTTTTTTAATGTTATAAATAATAAATGTTCTTTATTATAAATTTTTACTGAATAAAATTATCTAATAATTTCTTTTATTTAGGTATGGGTGGGAAGAAGAAAAATAGTAATATTGAAAATGCAAGTGAAGAAGACAAATTAGTATGGACACCTATAATGGATGAGGCTCTTATGGATGCTTTCCTACTTCAACATAATTTGGGCAACAGGGTAAATGGCTCCTTCACCACCAAAGCATATGAAAATATTGTTAATGAATTGAAAGAAAAACTTGGGAAGGAGGTTGACAAAGATAAAATTAAAAATCGCATGAAAACTTTAAAGGCAAATCTTTCATAATCCCATGATTTATTCAAAAACCTTAGTGGTTTTTCATGGAGCCCTATTACCAAACTATGGAGTGCTAAGCCTGAAGTTTGGGATGCATTAATAAAGATACAATTTTAATTTAAATTTCTTTACTATGATTTTGCTTGACTTAAATTAATTACTTTTATTTTAAAATGTTGATGATTTGTAGGTTAATAATGATGCTAAAGAGTGGATGACAAAAGCAGTGTTGCATTATGATATATCTGTGATATTATTTGGAAATGATCGAGCTACAGGTGAAAAGTTAGAGACTGCAAAAGAATTAAAGAAAAAGCAATTATCCCAACATGATAATGAGTCTCACAATACTATTGAGGAAATTCATCATATGGTGTCATAGAATCAGGTATCTTTGAATGGTTTTGGAACTAATAATGTTGATTTTGATCCTTTAACGTGTCTTAGAGGTCCTTCAAATGTGCCAACTAGCTCAAAATCGAAAAAAATAAAGAAGTCACAAGAAATTGAAAATGAAGCAATGGGCATTCAAGAAGCTATCAACAATGTAGCTCGAGCTTTATCAGAAGGAAATTCACGTCCTCCACTTTCAGAGGCTGAAGTTTGAAATATGTTGGAGGATTTGAGACTTAACTCAGATCAAATTACCACTGCTTATTTATATCTGCTTGAGCATCCAGATAAATTAAGAGCAGTACTAGGATGTCCACTTGGGAGACGTCTAGATATTGTTATGAGGGTTGTTTTTAGTACTTCTTAATCATCAAGTTCTTGGGCACAATCCGTAGTTTTATTTTTTAAATTTGACTAATCTAATTTGCATCCATTGAAATTTATATTTAAATAATTTTTTGGGGTTTGATTTTTATTAGTTATTTTATTTTATTGTTTATTAGTATCATTGAAACTATATTATAATAAAATTATTTGCTTTTTATTTTTAGAATCATTTTTTATTAATTGTTTCATTTAATATTTCTTTATTTTTTTTTTTTGAAAAGCAAAAGTAATATTTATTGAAAAAACGGAGTACAAGGGGCATCCCAAATCCAGAAACATCCTAACTTGAAAGGCATAAAGTTATATAGTCGAATAACACTTCCGTTTGGTGTTGACACCAAAATGATGTGTCAACACAACGTCAGTGTCGAGATTCTGCATGCTCGGCTCTTCCGTTTGGTGTCGGCACCAAAATCATGTGTCGACACAACGTCCGTGTCGAGATTCTGCATGCTCAGCTTTTCCGTTTGGTGTCGACACCACGTCCGTGTTGAGATTCTTTGTTAAATTTTTAATTTTATGTTTTTTAATCAATAATTTTCTTCATTTAATTTGCATTTATCAGTTTTTTAATCTAAACTCATATTATGACCCATAAAAAGATATGGTAAAGTACTGGACTTCTCTCGTGCTTGGTTTCGGTGAATAATGGAGTGATTTAATGAATTAAATAAATCGTAACAAGTAAAAACGAAAATGCAACTTCATTACAAGTTTAAAGGGTAAATTTATAAATTTAAAATTAATTTAAATTCTTTCATTTCTTCCCTTCATTTTACCTTAATTATTCAAATATAAAATAATACAATCCTTCCCTTCCCTTCCCTTTCCTTCCCTTCCCTTCCCTTCCCTTCCCTTCCCCTTCCTCATTTTTATTTATCTAAACAAAATTAACACAAATCATTTCCTTCTATTTTCTTCCCTTCCCTTTCTATTCCTCCCCCTCCATTTCCTTTTATTTTCCTCCATTCCCCTCCCTTACCTTTCCTTTACTATTTTCTATCCAAACAAGGCGTAAGAGTTGGTGCCCATGGCTGTTCGGGGGGTTTCAACGAGGGTGAGAGGGAAACAGCAGGATGAGAGGGGAAAGAGAAGGAGAGGAAAACGAAGGGTACTTTTGTCTTTATAAGTTATAAAATTAACAAAAAGAAAAAGGGTGATTGGTTGAAGATGAAAGCATGTAGATTTATCTAACCTATGTACGTGGTGATGTGATAAGTTACGGGTATGGTTATTTTTTTTATATTAATTAATATAAAAAAATTGATATTAATTTTATTATTAATATTATATATATGATTTTAATTGAATTATTGATTAAATAAATATGAAATTTTATATTTTTAATAATAATTAATATTAAAAATATATTTTTAACATATCTTTTTAAAATACAAATTAAAAAAATTTCATATAAAAATATTTAATTAATTATATTTTTTATAATTAATTTATATAAAAAATAAAAATTGATCAACACTTTCTTTTTTATTGGGCCACGTTATTTTGGTGTCCGAGAGGTTGGCCTGAAAGCTTTAAAGAAGCTTACGTGGCCCAATGAAAGGGGAAGTGTCGGCCAGAGAGTACCAAAAGCGTCTGCCCATAGCACTGCTCTTCCTATCAAAACGGGGCGTGCCTATGGCGTCACCCTATAGCTATTAAGGCCATAATATACCTTTTTCTTTTTAATTATATTATTAATAATAATTAATAATTAATAAAATAATTAATATTTATTTT